GTGGGGTTAAAGCAGGTATAGGTAATGTACCAAAATTGCTTTACCGCCGGTCCATTTACGGAGATGAAAAGCACTCTCTGCCAAGTACACCGGTGGCTCCACCCGGGGTTCACGACAGCCCAGAAGCGTCGTATCCCGCCTCTGCCCTTCTGATGTTGGGTACTGCGACGTCCAACCCCTCTCAATTTCAGTATGAAGTCAACCCTTTCACCAATTTGCCGACATTGCCCGTCAGAACTTTCGGGCTGGCATTGTCGCTGACGTCGATACCGTAGTTCGTCTTCAATCAAGCTAATCACGAACAAATGCGACTAAGCAGCCCACCGCCCGGTCTCTCTTCACACCCACCCACCCCTCTCAGTTATGCGCATGTAATTCCACTGCCGAGTATAATTTCGGATCGATGCTTTCTACCTGGAATCGCTAACGAGGGTCACTTGTGTCCGTGACGTGTTTCGACGCTGTTGAAGTTGGTAAAGTGCTTGTGTCCGAGGATATCGTACTTTAATGCCTAAACCATTAGCTCGAGATCGATCCGGAACCCCTGTTGCACAGATAAGGGTGAACGAGTCAACCTTCGAGGAATGTGCTTTATTCATTGCAATTCATTTGTGGATCTTCTTGTGAGATTGTGTTTTTGTAATGAAACGTGTTGTGTTCGATGTGGCATGGCATTTTATTCGGTTTAATAGTTTTAATGGTTCAGGAATAATAGAGATATAACATTTTAGAATGCAAAAGAAAAGTAGAACTGAATATTACGTTAAGAAAATGTATCTTTTCCAATTTTATCCTGCGATAGATAGTTGAGCATACGATTTGAAAATGTAAGCACGAACGTGTTATTTTAAAGCCAATGATTTCGTAGCTTATCCGTGGACGATAGGAAAATAAAGCCAGTTTCATTGCCTTCCATGTCCATCTGATAGCGTTCGTTCCCTTGAACGCCGAGAGACTCGAAATCGGACGGGTTTAAATTCCCAACGCGGGCTACGAGAAATTTAAGGCGACCATTGTTCTTGCCGCTTGAATTTACAAGGGTTGTAAACCGCTTTGAACTACGACACGTTGCAACGCCACTAGCGCCGTCGTTCTGACAGCATCCCCATCACCAGCCACGGTTTAATTAATGCGTTCTCTATTTTATCCGAGAAAGAGACGAGGGTACGAGGTTCTGTGATCGCAGGATAAGAGGCTGTCTTTCGATCCTGCTGAAGGGCTGACAGAAGTGGCAAGATCAACGGTGACACCGGCTAGGGGATGGTTACGAGGGAATTCCAGGGAAATTTTTCTTCTTCGACGTCAGCTCTGTAATCAAACTCTATTAACTTTCAATTTCTCGGAAAAGAATCGAGAAAAACACAAAAAACCCCTGTTATTTGAAAATAGCTGAAGAAAAGTTTAAAGATCAAAAGTAATATCTCAGTAACCATCATTAATTTCGTCTTTACCAGTCCACGAATTATTTCTGAGAAAAAGATTATGTAAAAATCCTCGATACAAAAATATCAGAGAGAAATGTAAAGACATTTGCTTAATAACTTTCGAAATCGAGAGTCGTCGGAGGACTCCTAACGTGCCCGTATTATGTGTTCGCTAAGATGGCGGCGGGCACACCGCCGGAGGACCGAGATCCCGGTTCCCGTTGCGTAACAGAAATTAAACGACGCGATTCGCAGATTTAAGATCCTCGGGGGCGATTGGCGACGCGATAATCGGTCACGCAACCGGAGATCACAATAGCCTCGGGTGGCGAGAATAAATGAACTGGCTCTGATACGGCCAGGGGGTGAAAGGCTTCCAGATAGGAAAAGCGACTTCCAGAGCTACCGCGGTATATAGCCCTCCGGTCAAAAGGGTTTATGGCGCGGACAGAAATCCCGCAGACAATGGCTGAATTAATTCCTTAAGGTCTAATCGGCCTGTAATGATCCTGATCTTAGTCGCTCCGGTCGGGCCGGAATTAGCTCAAGTATTCGAGGTCGCCTAGATTACTGCCGTTCGTCACGTAATTAACGACGTTTCGGCCGATGATTTAATGGTTCGGCTCGCGAACTAACCAACCCTGGACTGACCTTTGTTACAAGGGAAACGGTGGAATGACGACGCCGTAGCGACCGACAGGGATTCGTATGAATTCCAATAGCGACCGGACTCTGTTGCAATGCTGGCTACTGATAAGCACAGCTTCCAGTAAAGATTGTTTCCATATTATCGATTCTACGGGATATTCCAACATTAGTAGACATTAGCGATACATCTGCCACGCCACTGGAATAAATACAATTTGAATGGATTTATAAATTGAAATTCAAATCACTGTTACATTCAAGACTAAAACCATGATGACTGAATAGTAAGAAATATTTGACCGTTCAGTTGGTTAGCTTAGAATTTCAATTGTTATGCTTCCAGCATTCTAAACTCTTTGTCAACATAAATCGGCTTCTCTGTGATCAGGTTTTTTTCTTAATTTTTCACTAGTCGGTGTGCAAGGGTCACGATATCCGAAGCAATCGATAAATCATATTAGCGAATCGCGGAGCCATAAACGCACACGCGTGGTCACCGTTGCACCGTTGCACCGTCGCGGCCAAATTTAATCTCACACACGTGTCTTATCCATTTATCAGTCATAAGCTCTTTAGCCGTGGCTCTTGGTTCGAGAATGCTCGAGGGCCGGCGTGATAATCGTTTTACACGATCTTGAGCCACGTGACGAAGTGCCCGGACAGCCCGTATCGCCGTTTCAACTGTTGCAACTAGCCAGTTATTGCTCGCCGTTGCTTTTATCTACGAGCAATTACGTGTGACGCGGTTCGGATTACCCGTACGGACGGTATCGCGATCCCTAGCCGTTAAATTCATTAACCGATACGACTTTCGACGACCCCGGGGAACCGTAACTTAGCATTATCCCGGCGAAGGAAAGCGGAACAAGGGTCCCCGTTCGATTTTTCCTTACGACCCACCCTTTGTCCCTCTTCAGATTATCATTACGCGAAGAATAGGTTAATCCCCCGGTTCACGATTTATTTCGCGATCCTGCTTTTCTAACAGGTTACTTCATCGCGAATATTTTCGCACTCGTACGAGACACGGAGCTTAATGAATCAAATAACTTCATGTTATCAATATTCAATCATCAGTCAAATACATCCTTGAACCGAACACAGAATTCCTCTTACTCTTATCGGATCATTAAAGATAAATGCACCCCGACACGAATTAAATTATAAGACGACGGGTTGAATATTCGAAAAGATAGAATGGGTGATAAAGAAGTCATAGAGCTCATTAAAACTGCAATGCGCTCTCAAGAGAGTAACTGCGGGGAATAATAGAAGGTGCATTTTATGAATCATAGACTTTCCGAATTCATTAAAGCCATTATTTCTCAATTGCCATGAAGCCCTCGAGTCGCAAAGAATGTTCGCAACAAGTGAAGAGATAAATAGAACAGAATTGTACGCTGTCGACCTAACCAGCTAGTCGATTGACAGCGACAGTGCAGTGCGATGATCTTTGAAGTCAACGATCGAGAAACAGAAGCGGAATATCACAAAATAACGCAAACACGGAAAAAGACAGCGGAAAGAAAACAGACGACACAGAGTCGAGTTTTGCAAAAGTGTGTTTGAGTTTCATTAATAAAGAACATACGACGTTAAATCTCTTGATCGTTTGGAATCTCTACAGAATATAATCACCACTGAATACGATCACCGCTCGAAAAGAAACGCAAATGAACCATCACGTTAGGACAGCCTATCGAACACGCGTTGGCTCGCGTGACCACGTCGCGACAAACGTAACTACAAGGTAACCTAGACTCGAAGCTGGTGTGACCACGACCTAACCCAAAGCGACAGATCGAGACGATTAGTGTTCCGGGTGTGGTTGTTTCCTTCCCTCTTCTATTTTCACGGGCTGGGTGAAGGGAGCTAATACAGATCCTTGTATCCAGCGACGCCATCTTGTCTTATCTGGTCCTTTACGGTCCGACGTTGGTCGTTGTTCAACGGGACATATCATTTTACCTTGTGACTCGAAGGCACGCTCGGCGAGAGACGAAGCGAGGCGAAGCATGGCGTGGCGGAGGGTGGTTAAAAGAGGTCCCGAAGAAAAATAATAACAGAGACCCGGTTCTTCAACCCCGGAACACAGAACCACACTCCGGCGGACATTAGTGTGATAGCGCGGCGACGGTTCTTACCTTCGTGAACTATTTTTACCCGGCGACCTGCCGGGGATTGCATCGTTCCGGGGACTCCGTCCAGCATCTTGATGCCGGCACGGTGAACCGTGCGGACGTGAGAGTCCATCGGGCGTATCGCGACGATGTGTGATAGCGGAGGGCCGCCCCATGAAATTGCGAGTACTTCGCGGAGATTCTATTTCGTCGGCGGTCGTTTCGCTCCGCGCCGCGCCGCGCCACCCGCGAGAAGGCGAAGGCACGCCGCACAATGGAGCACTCGCACGATCAGGCTGGTTGAAAGTCCATTTTAAAAATGTTACCTAAACAGAGAAATGGTTGCTGTTTAAGATAGTTGAATATGCGAGGAATAATATCTTACAAATGGTTTTATCCTCGGAACACTCGAAAACTGCTGAGCTATGTCGAAAGTTTTACTCTTAAAATTTCTTAGAAGTACCATGTTTTGGAGAAGTTTGTGAGTTTGTAGGTAAGTGTGCACTCTGCCTTTAATTGTACATTACCGTTTTACCATGAATCTTTATGTATATGTTGACATTTTAATGTAATTAATACATCATCGATATTTTATATAGTTGTACAAGTTCACGAATGATTTTGTCTTAGATCAGGATGCGTCCTGGCATTCTTTCAAGAACAGTTGTGTTCAGTAAGGTTTTGAGATTGTTATTTAAAAATAAAATCCTCCGCATATGTCCACATTAGGCCATAAAGGATTAATACATCGAGAGGAATTTTTATGTTATAAATTTGTATCATTTCCGACTTCAGTAATTTTACAACAGAAAGGTACCGAATTACAGAAAATCTATAAATTAAACAATTATATATTATTCATGGTGTATTATTATGTATTATAGATTACACTGTTGTATATTACATTTAGAATCAAACTGAGAGGGGCAGGGCGAACCGTCCAGGGCGGGGCTAACCTAGGAGAGGGTGGAACCAAACCCACCATGGTTGGAGCTAAACGGAGACGGGGTGGAGCCACTCAGGAAGAGGGCGGGTTAACTCAGTTTATCCCCACTCCTTCCTGTTGGACCCTGCCTCCTCTCCGTTTAGATCCAACTACAGTTGGTTTCGCCCCACTTCATCCCAGCTAGGCACCGCCCTCTCCCAGCTAGGCACCGCCCCCTCTCAGTTAGGCCCCGTAGGCTGCGATCTACAATATTTCTAAAATATATTTTCTACGTTCATTAAGTTTACTACTTCGTAAGAAATTTTTTTCTTATAAATTTCTATCACTTTGAACTGCAATTTTGCTGTTATATAATTGCATATTATTGTATATTATTATATTACGTTCTCATATTTTTTTGGAAAAAGCCGACATAAACCTGTCTTTAATTTTGGCAGCACACATCGGACAAGTACCCCACTGTGCGATGTTCAACGTAGAGAATAAAACGCTTTCTACCGTTTAATTGGAATAACGGGTTCTATTATCGGCGATTGGACAACTGGATCTTTATGCGCATTTTACGACTTCTTCTGATTTATGAAGCACGGCTGACCGAAGATGTTCATCGTGTTGAACGGTGTGTTATTGATACGATCAAATCCTTTATTTCGTTTTATAATGGTTATTGATATCGATATTTAAATACTACGAATTTGTGCAAACAGTAGTCCATGCTATATGGTTTTCACTATATTTTAGTAGATTTCCAGGTTATATGTATAAGAATTATTGTAGACACGGTTTAGAAATGGAAGAATAAGATTATGGAACTCCCATGAATCACAACTTATGCGAAATCAGTATGCTCTTTACCACTGATTTCATTCAGTGTTGTGCGAAAACAAAAAAACTACATCTATGTGCACTACGGTTGTACGTTATATACAGAACGATTAAAATTTCTAGCGTATCGGTGGACGTATTCGTACGTCAAATGGATTTGCTGTTAATTAAACGAATACCCCGTGCAGTCCCGGTATTTTCTAGAGGAATCGGTGTGGTTTCTGGTAATTGTAGGGAGGAAAATTGGCCAGACAAGAGAGGGATCTTCGGCGGAGCTTAACCGTGGTTAATCGCGCGACCTATTCTGTTTCGATCGGCCGATAGAGAGTTCTTCGTGGTTTGTAGGTGACAGGCGATTACTCCGCAGCAGCTGATGGTCATTCATTGACCGAAGAGGGTCATTGTCGTTTAGGCAGTAGCGCAATCGAGGCAACCGGCCGGCCGGTTGTCTGTAATCATCCTACAAGCCCTGTTGTTCGGTCACAAAGGATCCGGTTGGTTCGTTGATTTGATGGCTCGAAGATATCAGTCTCTGTCACTTATCGCCCGTGCAAAAATTTCCAACAAGCTTCGTGAATAAAATTAACCGGAGATCGATCCGGTCGAGATTATGCAAGACATTGAACACTGACGAGCCTTAGTTTGTAGTCTATCTCTAGGAGACACGCAAATGTTCATCATTCATTATATTCACCTACTTATAAATCCAACTATACCATTTCTAAAGGTTATGAACCATAAACCTCACCTATATCTAACGCCCAAGATAATAAAATTCGATATTTAACGCATACACAGTGTTCAATATTATAGAAATCTGTAACAAACGTGCAAAGATGCCTATCAAATTTTCGATATCTCTTATTAACAAACGTTCCAATACATACTTGAATACATACGTGAAGCGTTATTTTAACACATTGTATGCGGAAAACGTAAAAGTACTATTTTCATGTACCGCAGTATTAAAGTAGTAAATAAATACTTATATAACTTCATTTTTAACAAAAGTAGATAGTTGATTCCTTTTGTGTACGATTGAAATTATTCCTATTTGCAATGGCAACTCTCGAAAATATGTTGAATAATAAATAAATTAATCGAATATAATTGATATAAGTTGAAATGAACAAAATGGCCCGCACGCAATGCGTTAATTAACCTTCATCATGCCGTAAGACGCGATTTAACGAAGAACCAGCTCATGTGATTGAACGTCGATGGCTGCGAAACGCGTTAATAGATACGAGAAGCGGCAACGTGGATGCGGAAACGTGACACATTTGACGGAACAGAACTCGTGCTGGTCCCGCGTCACGCCGCGAAATCCTCGGCAAGCCGCGCGCAAAAAACCGACGTGATTCGTTTGTATGCAAATGTTTTCTTGTAGCCGTTGGCTCGCAACGGCCGCCCCCGGTACCTTTGTTGGATAAAATGTACCCCCGTAAGCGACGCGGTCTACACAGGTAGTACGGGTACGCCATAAAGCGCGCCAACTTACCATGTATATTGCGAAGGTCTTCCTGAATTTCCATTGAATGATCAGTGTATCGGGTATGTTTGTGTGTTTTTGCGCGTCCGCACGCCTCCGCTTGGTAGGGGGACGCGTCGTGTCGCTTAATGTATTCCTGGCGATAAAACCGCATGGTTAAAATATAGGTCGGTTTCTAGGTCGACCGGTGCACCTCCTGCTACTTTGGTGGTACCTGCCGCCCTGTCTGGCATATGAACTACGTAGGCTACGTGTGCCCGTGACATAAACCAGTCACCTGTAAAGCCGCTCGCGCGCTTTTCACGTCGCTGGAATGGAAGGAACGGGCTGAACAGTGTCGTCTGTATTTCTAGCCTCACGCATGATCTACGAACCGTGCAAATATGGGGCTCGCATAGAATTTCTGCACGTCCATTAACGCCGCGCTGCATTCGGATCGGAATATACGCGCACGATCGGAAACGGTATTTAGGAGTACGCTTGCTACTAAATAACGTAAAATTGAAAATTATCCGTGTATTTTCAGAGTCTGACCGATCGAAATGAGGCAAAATATATTCAATGCTTGTTCTCTAATCTCCCGGAGACCAGGAGAACTTCGAAAAAAAAACAGAATCCTCAGGGCACCGAAGTTCCCTTGTGAATTCCGTATCCCCGGCCGTGTCTTTGAAATATTCCACGTCGAAGCCAGACTCATGTTAATGGATGGAATCCCAGAAACGCGGCGGACGGTCGAAGAAACTTCTCGGCATTAACCGGAGGGTACACGCTCCAGATAATGGGGCACCGGTAACCTTTCTTCAAAGACCGTTCATTGACGTTCGGAATCAAAGTTTTCGGTTGCTCCGTCGCCCGTAAAATCCGCGCTTCCCGGAATTCACGGGGAACGAAAATAATTACGGACGCGGCAGGGGTTTCGATCGATCGGCGTGGCTCGGAGCCGAACAACTTCGGCGTGGCACGCGAGAAGAACTTCGCCGTTGAGAACGCGGCGACAAGAAACACGGTGCGACCGGCGAACGGGTCCGCGGACGTGGATAGCTGAGCACGAAAGGATCTTCGGGGACTGGCCGAACGAAATTAACAAGGACATTATTGTTTGAGTCCATTGACGATGATGGCGATCGGGACCGCGCGCTCCGGGGCAAACCGCCGTTTCGGACGTTTCTCTGATTGGTTTCGATACGCGGCGGAATCAAGGGACAAGTCGCAGCTGCGGCGGCGGCGGCGGCGGCGGCAGCGGCGGCAGCGGCGGCGGTGGCGCACCGGGATGGCGGAATTTAATAAAGGGAATGATTACGTTTACCGCAAATCAGTATCGAAATGCATTCAGCTGACTTTGATGAATCGCGAACGCTCCCTGCGCCGCGGGCCCGTTCCGCCCCAAGATAAACCAATTTAATTAATTCCGTGAAATACATCAGGATTGATCGAAATGATGGATCTGCAGGCGCAATTGCATCGGAGAGATGCCACCCGCTTGCGATACTTTGACGCGACGCGTTATTATGCCGGTGACCGGCCACGTGCTCTAGCGTGCCGATTATTTCGACGCTCGATGTTAACCGCGCGAAAGAGAGAGGGACGGGACACTGCATAAACACTATGGTATCGATACTTTCTTGTACATCGGAACAGAAGGGACGTTCCCGCGATAATAGAGTTAAACGTTGATCGAAGTTTCTCGTACAGCTAAATAAATATCTATCGATCCTCGTAAACCGGTAGACCCTACTTGTACCTGTTCCACTGCCCTTTTATTCGCGACAGTTAGTCTCATTATTTATGCGAAAAACAAATTGGATATTTCCAAGAAACCGGGGACAGGGTATAAGAAAATAATAGCGCTAAAGTAGCGATCGACGGGAGACAGTATGTAATATCTTCGGTCGAGCTGACCTGCTCATCTTGCCCGAGAAACGAAGAGCGTTTTCTTTTACGAGCCGCTTATAGGGCGAGCAGATGGAACGGAACGCACGGCGATTTTTCTTCCGATTCGTCGCGGACGATTGTTTCCACGCGTACAAATGATTAACCCTTTCGCTACGAGCTTCCTGTCCGTG